TTTGCGTAGTTTTAACACAAACATTTATTTTTCATATTGCTACAGTTAATGAGCAACCTGTACTTGTGTGCTTGTTTGTTCTGTCTAAAATGTTTATTTTCAAATAAAGAGGTTAATATAAAAAAATATTTTTTGTCCGATTCATCGATTAATCGAAAAAATAATCGGCCGATTCATCGATTTTTAAAATAATCGTTAGTTGCAGCCCTAGAGACCAACAACTCCTCCCTCATTATTGGCCCTAAAAATGTAGCTTTCAGTTCATATAGTGGCTTCTGGCTGTTAATTTTTGAAAGGTTACTTTATACTTCTAGACTTTAAGTAGTTTCTGGAGCAGCTACTTTTTCACTTTTACTTGAGTAAAGAGGTCAAGATGCTACTTCAACTTTTAAACTGCAGTATCTATACTTCTACTTAAATAACAACTGTGTGTACTTTTGACACCACTGAGTATTTTTAATTCAGCATATTACAGCTCTACTTCATCCATCTATCTAGATGCCCATCAGATAATCATTGGTGTTATAAATGTAGGCTCACTCTACCTCAGTTTGATGATTAACATCCACTTGATTTCTTTGCTTAGTGTTTTGTGAAAGATGCTTCTAATGATGCCAGAGGTTAATAAAAATGTACAGTAAACCAGAACATCATGACAAATCTCTGCTGATAAGATAAAAGTACAAATTCAAGTCTTTTAACCGGACTGATTTCTCTGCACAATCTACACCTCTCTGAGGTACTGTATTTTGCAGCAGGGATGATATATTTGTTATTATGTCCCACCTTCTTTCAACTCCTTGTGTTGCTGTTGCAGCGCTTGGGCAGGAGCGTTATCCCCATCCCACCGCATATGTGTGGATTACATTTCATAGCATTCAATGAGAAGCTATTTGATACACTTTGTTGTAAACACTGTCAGTACTTCCTCCACTTTAGGTTGATGGGAGCTCAGCTTTCAGTGCACTTTCTATTGGTGTTGCTGTGCGTCGACTAAAAGTGTTACACTGAGTAATGTTCTTACGTTTATTGACTTTTCAATCATATTGTTTATTTGGGTGCATTTGATGTTTGTCTTTATTTTAATTCAGTCAAAATATATGTCTGAGATAATCATATTGATTAGGATTAAACTAGAGTGAGCCTAGAATTTTATTTTTTATTTTTTTAATGTTCTCTTTTTAGTTTTATTTTTCATGTTTTTTACAGATCTCATATTTTCTAATTCACAAAAATTGTCAGATTGAGATTTACAAATTGCATTCTTTTCAAATGATGTATGATGGTTCACATTATCTTCACTTCAAGCATAATAGAAATGCAATCATCAAAGCAGACCAATAGAAATGCGTTTTCACTCCTGAGCCCCCCCAGAAATAAAGGGAATGTGGTCTGGGGTCTGGAAAGAGACAAAATAATATAAGCAAGCAACTGAATACAGTATATTATTATTAGTTTTTTTGTTTTTTTAAAGCTTAATGCTGATATCGGCCCGCAGTACTCTGGGTGCCAATGCACAAGGGTGTTGGGATCTGGAGGTCTGTCCACTTTCTCCACCAGAGGGCGTACGAGATCTCCTGGAGCCGGAGCTGATTGCACCACCTGTCGCTCATCTGCTCATCAGGAGATCCGTATTTAAGGAGGCAGAGGACTTCTCTCCAGTGCCAGAGTGTTTGCCAGTAATGATTGAACCTGGGAGAGAGCTTACGGGACATGGATTTGAGGGGAATGTCACGTGTGGAGAGCCAAACCTGTTGTCCGGGTGTGTAGGTGGGAGCAGGGCGTCGTTTGCGGTCAGCGAATCTCTTATTTTGGGCAGATGTCCGGTTCAGAGCAGAAATTGTCTCCCACACATCTTCTGCAACCGGTCTGTCCCCTTTCGAAATCTCCCTTGTTCCCCGCCGACAAAAGGAAATCTCTGTTCCATCTGTTCAGCACCACATCCGCCGTTGCCGTAAGATCTGGAAAGACACAATTTCTGCTCTGAACCGGACATCTGCCCAAATTAAGAGATTTGCTGACCGCAAACGACGCCCTGCTCCCACCTACACACCCGGACAACAGGTCGGATCTCCTGATGAGCAGATGAGCGACAGGTGGTGCAATCAGCTCTGGCTCCAGGAGGTCTCGTACGCCCACCAGAGGGCGTACGAGACCTCCAGATCCCAGACCTCCAGATCCCAACAAAGGGTGTAAATGTGGGTTTTGGCCTGATGTGTTTGTGTATGAATGAATAGGATTTAAATCTAGTTATTTATTATTAATTGATGATTATAACTGTAACACGCTTACTGATTAGGGTTTTAGCCCCTTTCCTAAAAGGATGGACTCCTGAATCTGGCTTTTAAAAATCCAGTTATCTTTCATCATTGTAGTAATTCAGGCTGTGGCTCGCAGCAACGTTATTAATCACCAACCAAATAAATGTGTCTCTGTTCATTTAGATGCTACTGAAAGAAAAGTGAATCCAACCTGAGTGATAAATCTTTCACTGTGTAAAATGATAACAAAAGGCCGCGAGTTAAAATACAATGGTGCCTTTATTAGCTACAATCACACAGTATTATATCTAATAACTGAGCAACACACTAAACACTTCTGAAAATAAGCAAAATAAAAGAAATAAAAGGGGAAGAGGGGTTTAAGAGTCTGTTTGAAGTCTTTGATGTTTGAAGTTTAAGGCTTAATGCTTTTGAAAGTGTCCTTTATCATAGCAGCAGATAAAATGTGAATAAACCCTGACACAGAGGCGTTAACTGTAGTCAAAACAGTGAAGTTTCATTCAGTTTATGGCGAAAAATGAATGACTCATTAAACTATGATGAGGCTGAAAGACCCGTTAGCTCAGCTGGCCCCAGGGGTTCTGGTTCTGGTCTGGTCCAACTGAAACAAAGAGAGGGTTAGCTCATGATGTAGCAGTTAGCTTCAGCAACATGTGACTCGTTAGCTCTGTGGTGAGCATTAGCATTCAGTGAAACCCTTAATCATCAGCAGTTGAATCACAAAACTTAATAAAAAAAACCAACACGACTATTCTGTCTACCTATAGTTTACCCAAGCAGAGCAGTTATGAAGGATCAGATGGAAGGAGGGGGGATGCAGTTACAGTTTTTGGTTCAGTGGAGGGAAGGCCTTCGGCTCAGTCCAGTTCTCTGCAAGCCCGTCTTTGGTCCAGTCTGTTTCTCCAACACCAACTCAAAGAGATTTGGACCAATCAGACAATAACAGGTGATTTGCAAGAGGGTTAATTTTATAACTCATGGTAGCAATTGACATCTCCCTTTAGCTATGGTTGCTAGCAGTTGGGTTGACTTGATAGTGGATTTTCATTGTTTTCTTCCCAATACTATTGAGTCAGTATTATTTTTTGGGTTTACAGTGTGTGTTGACTGTAGGTCACAGTCCTCTCTGGCCTAACTGCATGTTCAACCCAGCATGCACTGCTCACTTTAAAAAAAAAAGCAACTTCTGTGGGTGAAAAAAATAAAGGATATTTTGATTATCTGTTTTTAAATGTCATATACAGCATTTTTTTTTCAAAGTAAATAGGGAAATGAAAACACGGATGCCTTTAGAGGATTTAACTAACGCAGACGTCAGAGTGACAGGTCTGTAGTCATTAAGCTCTTGAAGATGTACTTCTCAGGGGCCCGGATGACGGTAGGGCATTTAAAACAGGCATTACTGAGTACTTCTAGTTTTATGTTCTGGGTAATTGTCCCGTGGAAACGACTCAGAGATTGCAAAGTGCTTTTTCCACTGAGCATGAGGCATCCAGGCACACAACTGCTTTCTATTTACTTAGTTTCTGAAGAAATGAAGCATTATTGAAGTCAGATGTAAATGCCTAAAAAAAAGAAATATTTCCTTGTCTGTGAGATATATTTGGTAAATAATTAATTATTTTATTTATTGAGTAATTTGTACAAAGAGAATCACATAATTACCACATCAGCAAAGGGCTGTAATACTTTGATGCTTATCCAACATCAGCACAGGGAAGCTGCCACTCCACACATCCGTTCTTTTCTCCCAGAAATAATTAAATCTTATCCCAGAAGTAATAATCTGCGCTATATTAAGAGCAAGGTGTCTATCTTGTGGCCACATGGTTCTTTTCCTACCATCCGATGGATGGTCTGAGTCACTCCTCCGCAGATGACAGAAGACAAAATGAAGCAAACTAATTTTAGAAGTATCATCAGTCATCTTTCCTTTTGCTGTGCATACTGTTTGTCTGATCAGTCATATTCAATAGGCATTTCTTCTTTTCTTAGGTGATGAGTGGGACTATATCATGTCTGAAGTACAGGGAACGCTGGAGTTTTCTGTAGAACTGCACAAGTTTCACAATGTGGATCTTTTTCAAAGGGGGTAAGTAGAATCGTAATGTTTCATTTAGTTAGCCTACTATAAACACAGTACACACTTATTTGAATTTCTACACTAATTCAAGGTTTAAACTGACTGATTGAGTGGCTATAAAATTTGTAATTGATTAGCCTTCATGTTTAATAAGTTAAAGGACTTAACAATGGACTATCATTGCTTTTAGGAGGATTACAAAGCCTATCAACACAAAATGTTCCCATTATCCAAACAAGGTGCTGTGGAATAAAATGATGCAGTGACTTTATGTTATTTAATTAAATTATTTTGGGACTGTAATGTATTGTTCTATGAACAAAACAGTTTCGACAACAAATAAAAGTGTGATTCAAGCTCAAATTTTGGTCAAACGGTTAAGTCATATAAGTTATCTATGGAATAAATTCACAAAAAAATCCATTCAAATTTAAAAACATTATTCAGCTCCAAGTCAAACAAATTTTACTTGGAAAAAGCTTTGAATTAAACTAATGAAACTCAACAAAACCAATTAGCTACTATGTACACATAGAAAAAGAAATGAAAATGGTTGTAAAGCATAGTCAATAAAATTGTTTAGGATTCTTTTCTAACTTTTTTGATTTCGTTCGTGGGCAAGACACTGTTTGGATGAAATAATGGGCAGGAATACAGTAGAGAAGCTGCAGAGAGGTGTGTTAAACTACAGCTCTGCTTCCTGGTCTGCACCCTGGGCTGTCAGGGTTTTAGAGGACTAATACATTCGGCCAGATTCCTGGAAAAAAAGAGCTGCACCAACCAAAGTGGGATGGATGCCGTTTTTTCTGAATCAGACCAGGTTCTGCCCACCATTCCCAATTATTAATGTAACCCACGTTGTTTTCAGGACACCACCTAGACAACCAGCAGATGAATGACAACATGCGGCTAAACATGCAAACACAGGTCAGATCAGGGAGGGGACCAGAGAAAATTACGGCACCCAACATTTTTTGGCAAACTTACACAAATCGAAGCTACACGTCATTTATTGACCTTCACTCATTACCGTCAGCATGAATAACAATCTTTTTGTATTTAAGCTCATCCTTCGCCAGCAGTTTCAGGTTGGTTTTATGTTTTGTGTTCTTTTCAACGGCAAACATGTATCAATGGTCTCTGGTGCCTCCAACTCCATGTTTCTGACCATGTAGCTATCAACTGTCTGAGTTGACTTCTAAACAGGGGAGCCGCGAATTTGGCTAAAGTCGGTTAGAAATGTGGACAGGTTGGTGGGAACCAGTGGGCAAAGAGGTAGGATTTTCTGGCTGCTCAGGAACTGCTGGAGAACCCCTATGTGAATGTTTTCCCTGGTTTCAGTGGCTCTGACCTGTTAACTACTGGGCCCGGTCTAACTCCTGGATTTTCAACAGTCCAAAGGCAGGAACTCTCTAACTCTGTCACTGTCGCCTCCAAAGCTACAAAAGTACTAAACCTAGCCTTTAATTCTAATTTAACTTGCCTGGTCATGTTGCACTTAACTTTACCCTAACATCTATGGGCTTGACACTCTAATAAATTATCCAGTCACCTTTTATAAATGGCTTAGATGCTGTTTATGGATATTTATCCAAAATTGATAGGATGTCTCTTAATCATTAATATATATATATATTTTTTTTTTACCTATTATAAATAATGGTTATTGTAAACTTTATTGTAAAGTACTCTATGGGAAATCTGAATAGTGCATTCAAAGAAGATGTTAATAAATGGCACATATATTAGGCAAATATTGTTCAGATTTTTGACTTAATTTAATTAAGAAGAATCTTAAAGAGGATTTTTCTTCCTAGTAAAAGGATCTGTAAATTCTGCCATGTATAGAAACCAGCCTTGATTCAAAATATGACTGAGGTATTCATGCGTTGAAGATCTACCATCTGCCAACCATCTGCTGTAGATCATATAGACAAATGGGAACGCCTCCTTAATGTCCGGCTACATTAGTAAGTCTATTTGTTTTCATTTCTGTTAAAGGAGAATTAAAGGAAAACAATCATTTCAATGACAGGATGATAATACAGGTCTAAACAATATTAAGTCGATTTTGGAAATCTTTGATTATTCTGTAAAACATTATCTGGCCAATGTAGCCAAATAACTACTGATCAATAATGAAAGATAAATGCACTGATAAAAATGACTTGGTTTTCCCAAAGTTTTGACATTTCAATACCAGTCTCAAGCTTATTTCCTTCAATTTTAAGTTCCGTTCTAGATTCAAAAGGAAGCTAATGATGGTAAACTAAAATGATGAACTCTTTTAAAAATTTGTCAGCATTTTTAACAAGCTGAGGACTTTTTACCATATTTTTTGTACTTTGTGATGGCAAACATTTACAACATTTTCGTCTTAGATTACAACTCCTATGGTAATTTTCTTCAATTTCCTCAAGTGTAGTTTTAACCGTGTTGGGGGTTCTTTGTTTTCTCAGGTTCTATCAGATAAGAGCGGCACTCAAAGTTTCACCTCGAGTGCCCCACAGACTGACCGTGACAACCAACGACAATGCAGGTGAGGAAAATGTTTTTTATTTATTTATTTACTTTTAAAATATTGCTTCAGACATGAAACTACATCCAGTCTTTCATGGTAATTATCTTCCAGTTTGGTATTAGTAAGAGTTTTATGAATGAACTTTGAGTTTAGTTTGGTATTTGGTTTTCAGCTCTTTCTATCTAATCATCTTTTGAAGTTTCTAATTAGTTGTGTTCAGTTGAATTAGGTATATTTATGTAGTGCCAAATCACAACACATTTAATCTCAAGGCTTTTTACTGTGTCAACCCAGTCAGGTGGTTCAAAGGTTTCCAATTGAGTAAAAACAGCTGATTGCATCTAGTAATTAACTTCACACGATTCAGTAGACATGCATTATGTGCATTATGTTCACTATTATTTTACAGATCTAGCTGGCAACCACAGCTCCCAGATTTGTGCCTTAAAAAAAGAAAATGTTTTGGTGCCGTATTTTTATTTTTACGGGCATTTTCGGCAACTGCAACTGCTGGTATTTTACCGTAAAGGAAATAAATGTTCTGATGCCGTATTCTTATTTTTACGGAGTTTTTTCGGCAACCACAGCTGCCGGTACTTTACCGTAAAGTAACAAATGTTCTGGTGCCGTATTCTTATTTTTACTGAGTTTTTTCGGCAACTGCGGCTGCCGGTATTTTGCCGTAAAAAAGAAAATGTTCTGGGGCCAGTTTTTATTTTTACGGTGGTTTTTCGGCAACCACAGCTGCCGGCGTTTTACCGTGAACAACAACAGGTTTTTTTTTTTACAATAATAGAGCAATCCCTCACACTGGGCATGAAGGGACAGTGGGAATAAAAAATGTTTTCTTTGAACCTCCACAAGAAAAGACTCTGTGTAGGCGGACTTTTGTTGAGACTAACTAATGGTTAAGGAGAAAGAAGCAAAATTTTACTATGTAATATGTAAATGATACATAATAATATGTAAAATATCATTATCTAAATGATAGAGGCGTTATTAAAGCTCCCATATCATGCAAAATTCACCTTCTGTGTCTGTGTATGAGGTTCATAAATAAAAAAAAACATTTCACCTCTTTTCGCTGCCTTTCTCCACCTCTTAGCTAATGTGTTCCCTAAAATGCTCTGTTTGAAATGATTCCCATTATGATGTCATCAGGGGAAATAAGCTATCCAGAGCGGTCTGTAGCAGCTCATCGGTCACTCCACAGCATTCATCAGATGTATCGTTCTGTAATCCTAGGCCATTTTACAAACTGGTTGTCATGGTTGTGGCTTTGGGGGCGTGGCCTTCGGGAGATCAGGGTGTGGAAAGTAAAAACAGGTAATTCAGAGGAAGGCTGGATAAGGAGGTTTTTGGTTCAGGCTGTCTGCATAATCTGAGAGGAATATTCCTGCACAAATGGCAAAAACATGCTTTGCATGCCTCATTGATGATCCTTTTTATTTTTTTAAATGTAGAATAATATAGGACCATTATAAAAAAGATGTAAATACTAAGATGGAAAATCCAGAGCTGACATATAATCAGTGTTTTCAATGTGATTATCTTTGTGAAATCTCTCTGAGTGGGTCTTTTTACATACATCTTCGAGCATACAGGTCCTTCTGTCTGTTTTTACCTGGAATCTAAAAATTCTTGATTCTGCTTTATTGAATTATTCTCAAATAGAGGAATTCTCAAACAAGATGCAAAAGGGCTGCATTGTCAACTAAACCTTTTCATATCTAATAGATTTACTCTTTTACTACATTTCGGCTGTAATTGAAAATACCGTCCATCTTTAAAGCTTATAGGACATTAAATGGCTGTTCTGGGTTCTGTCTCTGGGAATATTTTTGCTCTGTCTTGTCCTTCTTGTTGTGACATTTGTCTTGCTTTGTGCTGAAGGCTGTCTGAGTCACACTGCAGAAAATCCTCCCTGTCTAGAATAGAATTCACTCTCAGACTGAGCCAATGCCCCTTTATTGCTTTACTGGTGGTTTGTAAAAACACAGTAGTGGAATCGTTATGCACAATGGAGAAGATTTCACCTACGAAAACATAAAAGTGAACTCTGTTTAAATCGCACCCTTCGCAGGTCAGGAACCCAAAATTCTTTGCTGTAAAAAAGTAAAATAAATTCATATTACAAATAGGACGAGAAGTTAACTTGTTTATTTTCTTTTTTAAGAAATTATGAAGATATTAGAAGATGTTTAGTCAGTATGTTAAAACCGTTGACAATTAACATCTAGCTGTAGATTTCATAGTGATATTTAGAAATGAGTCAGAATTAACCCAAAAGTCCATCTTTTGAAAAACGCACAGCTCTCTCACTGATAATGAAATTGTGCTGCAGTTTTAGCTAAATTTAGCTTGTCACTTGTGAAATGTGTGTGAGGACGTGTGAACTAGCTGTACATCGTTTAAAAGATACTTGTTTTGTAATCAGCTTGTTTTCCTAATTAATATAGGGCAATCTCTAAAAGTGCATATCCCTTACAAATAGAGTCCACCCCCCCCCACACCCGACCCTCAGTGAGGTCTAGACGCACAAGATCTATATCCAGCCATTCAGCAAAGATATTCCTACATGGCTGCACATCTGATTTTGGCATTTGACCAATTAGATGAGCCCTTGAATGATATATTACCTACTGTAAATTAAGCAGAAAAAAATGGGGTAAACAGCTAAGTTAAAAAGTTAATAAGCCTATTTAACAATTATTTTTAGGTTTATATACTTAAAAATGTAAGTGCCTGTATCAAGGCAAAGGCAAGGCAAATTTATTTGTATAGCACAATTCAGTATAAATCAGCATTAACTCTGCTAACTTTATGTTGTACCAAAAAATGTTTTTGATTCTTTACTCTGAGTGTTTTTCATTAATTTCTTATAGAAACACATTTGTTATTTTTCTTAATATATTCTTGTTATTACATTGTCATTACTTTTTGCCATCAAAATATCCATATATTATTAATGTTACAAAGGTAATAAGGTCTTGTCCTTCATGCTAATCACACTATTAACTTGAAATTTTGAGTGCCCTATAAAGGGTTAAGGTCAAGCTTAAACATTTAAAGTTCATGGAAAAGCTAACCTGGCCATGGCTGTTTGGGGAATTGGGAATTGACTAAATGTAAATAGAAGTTTTCTGGTCACACTAACAATTCCAACATTTTACTATAAACCAAATTCACTCGTTTATGGGGATATTTATGCAGCAGTGCACACAATCAGAGCCCTTGCTCATTGGATGTGTTTCCATCAACCTTTTTCTTTGCACATTTTGAAGAATGATATCAGAGTTGATGAAAATAGTGAAGGAGTAATCCCATGGGATAAATAAAGTTCAGTCTGTAAGTCTAAAATTGAATCCTGTTACTATATTTCGCAAAAATGTTTTAATATGAGCTTGAGGTGGTTGTTGACTTATTTGAAAAAGCATAAATGCACTCCAGAGGAGATGAAAAGACATTCTTCTAAAAATGTCCTAATGTAACTCAAGTACCTTCATAAAAGATAAGCTGTTTCCCTCGCTGAGTGCAGCATTAGAATGACAGCAACCCTCACTTATACTAGATGACATGAGAGAGTAAGGTCAACACTAAAACACTGTGGCCCATGGCCGCCTCCTATCTTTACTTCCTTTTTATTAACTTCAAGCGTAATGACATTTTTTTTACACATTTCATAGTTCACTCAAAATTTGCAAACAATGAGGATGGAAAAAACGGCTACTCTAAGAATTAAATGAAGCTCTAAACAGCTATTTATCTCCACTAAATCTTCCCAGCACCCGCTTAACCCTTAAAACTTGCAAACCAAACAGCATTGTGCACTTTCAGTCGTGCATAAAAAAATTTTGTTTTATTTTGCTAAATTGCTTTCATATAAATGTGGTGTGTTAAAATGCTAACATTAAAGGCTGATTTATACTCAGAAACCAGGTCGTCTGCGTGTGTCTCGCGGTGAATGCAAATGTGCCCCCGCCCCTTCCGTAGACACTCTGCTGCACCTCTCCAAAATTGTAGGTGAACGCAGACAGTGCTGCAGACAGGAGGCCTCTGATTGGTCAAGTCTACATCCGCTCTAGACTATGCATATTTCCTGTTTGGCTTGTTTTGTTTGTATGACCGCCATTGTGGAAACGACACTGCTGCGGGGGGTATAACCAGCTCTTTATGCTAACACTGATAGCCAAACTGATATGGCATGCTCTGCATTCAGTCTGGTAAAAAGCTGGTAGACCTCGAAATCAGTAGCGTCATGAAGTTAGAACCAATCAGATAACTACAGATGTGATGCAAAAACTACAAATGATGAGAATGGCAAATATCTCTTTTCTTTAAAGTGTAGAGTATAAACATCTGGCTGGCTTGCCAAATATGGAAGCAGTTGTACTGCATTATGTAGTCCTGTTTCTGGCCTTATGTTCACTTAGCAACACAGAGAATGCAGCATGTAAACAGGGAGTCTACAAACTGGAAGTCACGTACGAATCTTAGCAAAAACAGGGTTTTTACTGGCTGACTCCCACGCAATCAGGTCATAAGTTAAGAGATTTCCAGGAAGAGCGTCCAGTCGTGCACGTGCATCCACAATGGAATGACTGAAGGTTGGGGGAACAAATGTGACGATGCAGTGCTGAATGTATGAAGTGTTTAAGACAGCTGTATGAATACGGTTTTGTAATTATATGTTTCCCCCTCCGGATGGTAAAATGGTGTGAATCGTGGCCTTCTTTCTGTCATAAGGGAATTCTACCAATCTTCCATAAAAGAAATTATACTACAGTGGTCTGTTGTTGAGGTTTCAAGGTTAGATCAATCTCACTTAGGACATAGTTAAAACATTGCTCTGTTCTGGTCGTAGTCTTATTGTTATGCTAGCAGGAAAGCAGACAGGTGCTAAAAGTCATGCACCTTAAAGTCCTGCCTCCCGTGCTGTAATCGATCTGGCCAGATCTGGCGGGAGTCAACTGCTGTTTTCCATGTTACTTCCAGATCTGTAGCGGTAGTATGATCCG